TGTTGGGGAAGACATGCTTGTTGAGCCAATACAGAAGAAAGTACATGTGTTCTTGATCTCTGTTAGCATTAGATGAGGATAAGCCAAAGTTTTTATTGACAAATGGGATGAATCCCGTAAAAGAAGTTTCATAGCTCTTAAAAGTAGAAGAGTTGTACTCCAACTGAGTCACAAGATCAGAGGTGCCTGAGCTTTCAGCAGTTGGGCGAGAAAAGGGAGATCGGTTATGGGTAACATCCACAACTCTGCCCGAAAGCCTTAGCCCGAAGACTTGAGCCATGTCAATGATGGTCGAAGACATTGGACCCATCATGAAATCAAAGGTGTTGGTCCCTGAATTCCAGAAGAAAAGAGTTGTGGTTAGCAACTCAGGCTTAGCAATCACAGTTGTCTTAGAAAGCATTATCAGCTCATATATGCCGTTGTTCATCCACTTCTTTTTTAAGGTGGGCTCGAGCTCGCTTATCCACTATGTCTAGCTTTCATCTTTCATCAAAGGGAAACCTTTTTGATGGTTCGACCACTTGGAGGTCGAAATACCAGCCTAAGCCGAATATGGGTTATGAGTAAATCAGTTAGCCTTGGGCATATTGTTCTCTACTGCAATTGGAACCCAAGAGGTCCATACAGGTCCTAAAGAGTTCACTCCCCATTCCTCGAAGAAAAGAAAGGTATTCAGGCCAGCCTAAAGGCAATGAAGGCCATTGTGCAAACGACGCATAGTGGCAATGCTATCGCCAGATTCACAAGAAGATTGAGCTTGAACAACTTTGGGTGCCATTAAGCTTTGAAAGAAATAAGAGAAAAATTGAGAATAGGGTGTAAGAACTGAGAGTAATAGAACTCTAGAAATTATGAGGGTTCTGAGAAATCTGGGATTTTGGAAGTTTGGAGGATTAAAATTGTTAAGGTACTTGGCTGAAGATTTAACTAAAGATTATATAGTAAAGCAGTTGATTAACGTTGAAAATTGTAGGTTAGTGCAAAGGTTTAGGTAACAAATGGTTGTTTTAAATGGTGCAATTCCCAAGTAAGAGCATGCAACAGCTGTTTAATCATCATTAACGCCTCGATTTGCAGACTCAACAATGATTAAAGGGGTCACTGTTTGGGTTAATATTTGAATATTGGGTTCAACTAAAAGAAGGCCCAAAGATGTCAAAACAAGGTGAATCTACCCAAGGCTCAACATCAGGCCCAGAAGCAAACCAAAGCCTTTTCAGCCAAGACATAAAACATATGTTTATAACTGAAGTGACAAGTGATGAAGACCAACTTACTATCAGCCAAAAAACATTTTCCAGTGGCACTGCATGTAAAAAGCTAATGACTCGCTACCCTTTAAGAGCTTTCAGGCAAGAGCAATACCCTAACCTTCAAGCCAAATTGCCTATAAAAGGGAGAAGAGACAGCAGAGACAAGGACACTCAACCAATCAAACAAATAAGCATCCAAACTCTGCTTTCAAGCCAATTCGTACTCTTTAAGCCTAAAATCAACACAAACTTAGTTTCTTTAGCAATAGTTTCCTCATAAAAGCTATATTTTGTCTAGTATAAAAGCCCTGCTACCTCTCTTAGTGTTGTAGTATCGATTCCCTCGTGTAAACCTATTTAGCATCCATCCCTTTTTAGCTTACAACCCCTGTAAACTCAAAGAGAAGTGAACGCAAGAGGTTCAACCTTGCCAAACAAGGTGAAATCTTGCCTGAGTCTCTTTGTTTGTTCTTTAAATTAGTAGATATATTGATTAATGTACTCTTCAACATGTATTCAAGTCATTTTTTTTTCTATTTTAAGAGTCTCATTTGCATCAGGACCTGGATAACTAAACAAATTTGTTTTCAATAAGAGCAATTTGGAATCAAACAAATGACTGAAGGGGATCTGGACTCCCTCCATTCGAACATACAAGATCATGAACTAAAAGTCCTTGTTTACAAGGTAAGAAAAGAACTTAATACAGACTTAACTCATCTGTGACAATCCTTCGATAACAAGAAGTTTGAGTAACTTGGGGTGCAAGTAATTGACTTGAAACACATTTGTTCTATATTTGCTATACTGAAATAGCAGTGGCACACCTAAGCACTTAGTTAGTTTTGATTACGAGCCTCAAGGCCTACACCTAAGGCCCCACAAAGGCACATTTCAGAACTAATTTCAAGTTCTTATTGCAGCACACAAGGCAAGCAAGAGCCCGACTACCAAATATACACGTCCAAAGTGCTAATCTCTTAGGGAGCTATGCTAAGGTCCAGAGACCTTTTCTAGAGAAATCTTTGCTCGAACAATATTAGCATGCTTTGCTAGGTCATAATCAAATGTAATGAGAAAAACTTACCTGGTGTAGCCATGGTGGTTGTTAATTATACACAATAACTCTTCTACTCACTCAAGACCTTATGTTCCAATGGTGATAGAACCCTAGTTTTCAGAATATGTTCTTTGTGAGCAAGGAATCCTTATTTATAGATTTGAACTTCACCAACCTCCATCTATCATGGATAGGTGGTTACTAACTACTGTAAACACAGTGATCAGTTTCAAGAGTGGAGCAATGTGGCATCCTTATCACGACCTATGTTTCCTTTATATTAGGATGCTTATTTCCACATTTAAACTCGAAGTCAGTTTGTATAACCACCAATTGTATTTCAGCCTTATTCAACGTAGTTTAGTCCAATTAGGATTCTTACATTATGACTCTCAAGTTTTTAGCCCTTATATGCACTTAAGCTGAATTTCCAGCTGGGTCACATGTAGTCATAAGCTCTCAAGTAAGTTACTTTAGAATACACCTCATCCACATTCCTCTGGGTTAGCTCTATGGTGAAGTAATGTTGTAGAAGCATGGATGCATGGGATCTAGTTAGATCCCAACTCCTACAAGTACAAGTCCTATTACCAACATCCACAACATACTGATCATTCAAGTAAATCTCAGCTTGGAATACAAGATTTCACGCGCATTTTTAGCCTACAACCTTCTCATCAAATTGCACTTGATCATCCATCATGGTTAAAATTGTTCCCTAGAAGTAAGTATCCAACTATTAAAGCTTCACATAGGTTGTTAAGAAGCATATCACACCTCACCCTAGTGCTAAATCTTGACCTAGGCTATTGGAAACATATTATCATTAGCATCAGTACTAACTGTTGCAAGTAATAGACCTGTGACAATAACTAGAGAAACTAAGTAGGTAGTCTCTGACCAATTTAAATCAAAATATAAAATGATGGAACATAATAATTCACCTTCATATAGTCCCTGAAGATGACAACCATCTACCCCAATCAATGGCATGCACCCAGCTTTAAAGCCTTTTTTGCAAGCATCAAGATAGCATATAACCTCTTAAATAATGGAGGATCTACACTCACTTTTAGGTTATATAATTACTATTTCTTATTCCTTTGATTACACCCATTTTCTCTGCTTCAAGATTCGAAATGTCGAGGATGCTTCGGAGTTGCTTTTACTCGTTCAACTTTGTTAAATTTTGGGTGTCATTGTTTTCATTCCCAAACTTACTTTCCCAACCCACCTCTCATCCTTACTAAATTTTGAATGAATAAATAAATAATTTACTAAATTATAATTTTTTTATATTCACAAATGATGATTGCTTTACGAAAGAAATGTGACATGCTACCAATTTATTAAGTTATATTTGTACTCTAATCATAGCTTGCTTTAGCTTTGGTGCATTTGCATAAACAAAAACCCTACTAGATATAGAGAATAAAATCTTTTGCCGCCAACTTCTGTCTTTGGTTTACGGTCGGCATCAATTCGTTTTGGTCTCTTCAATCTCTTTCCCTTTTCTCCTTATCTTCTAAGCATTTTCATTTGCAATGTTAAGTCCTTATGAAAGTTATCATTCATGTTAGTTGGATGTGACTTATCTGTCGATAAGAAATTGTATGATAGTTATGCTAAGTTTGATTTTATGGAGTTGTGGTGTTTTAAGATGTGTGGCCTCATGTTCCAGCTACAGGAATTTTTTAAATGTTGAGGCTCAAAAATGTCACACGCAAGTCTAATAAAGCCTCGAAGTTCAAATCCTTGTACGAGCCTCAAGTCAAGTCCGAATACATGGAAAGATGCGGAATTAAGGAAAGGTCGATTAAGCTCATCTCTCTCCCCTTAATGTAGATAATATTATTTGTTCAAAAAAAAATAATAATAATATTTCTAATATTTTATATAATTTATAACTCTCAACTTCAAAATATCCATGCGTCAGAAAAGGTAGATTAGCTTATCTAAGGCACACAAGGTGTGGTTTGGCCATGTCAACGATGTGGCTGTCGCAATCTTATTTATTTGAAAACTTGTGTTTTTGTATGATTGTTTTATTTTATCCTTTGTTCTCAAGACATGAATGATCTGGTTGCGCTAATGCATCTTGTAACCTAATACATAACCATATAATTTTATTATTTTACTCAAATTATAACAAGTATATTTGTAATATAAAATATTTTAAAAGTGAAAACATGTCAACCATATTATCCACTTACATTATAAATGTGGTTGCAACCCGTTAGACCATCTCCAAAAGAGATGTTAAAGTTTAAACCCAAAATTTAAATTTGAAGGCTTGTGTGGCACATTGATTTTTCATATATGTCAAATTTAAACTATTATTTATTATATTATTTACTTTTTATAGTTGTAATAAGTATTTTGAAACAAAAGATAAGTATAAAAATTATCAAAAGCATTTATTAATTACTAAAAATAGATTTGAAGATGCTATCAAATTTGACAGCGACTTTCTTTGCTGCCTTTCCATGTCATGCCACGTAGGAATTGACATTTCGGTTGAAAAAGATTAGGGATATCTTTTATTACTATTATTACTGATATGGACATTTTGACATCTCATTTGGAGATGCTCTTAGGCATTTTTATTTTATTGTACTTGTAACAGTTGTACTATAAGGGTTTTCCAAATAAAAAAATTGCATTTGTTTTCCGTGAAAAAAATGTAAAAGAAATAAAGATTTAATTAACTCAATGGCCTTCTTAGTGAAAGGCATAAACTTGGAAACACACTACAAATTCCTGCGGAATTTGAAATTAATTACAATGAAGTCGTAGGCAGGACTATATGGATTTTGATTTCACTGAATTCGTGTGAGGGAGGAACACATGCGAGGATCCTAATCTGGTGGCATTTACATAATCTTGGGGACAATGTGCTGGTGCTCCTGGCAGTAGCAAACCCATTAGCCTAAACAACTTGAACAAGGGGCCTTCATTGTAGTCTGGTCCCAACTTATTTGGAATGGTGAAACTTCTTGCGAGCTCACCAAAAGCATTCATTATCATTGGTATTGTCCCTGTTGGAAAGAAGTAATTCTTGTTTGGCTCTTCTGGAACAACCTGCAGCACATGAATATATAATTAAGAAGCATGCAATAATATATTATGAAATTAGTCCAATAATTAAGAAGCATGTAATAAGATATTATGAAATTAGCCCACTCTATACGATTTCTAGAGAGTTGTTATTGACATTATAAAGTAATAATAACAACACAATTTTTATCAGAACTGAGATATATATCAGCCGTATTTCTAATTGGAAAATGATATTTGTTTATGTTATAAAATTTTGAATTTGGACCATCAGCCAAGTCGATTCTTTTTCACAATCACACGACAGATAATGTTGGTTAGATAACATAATATGACATAATAAACATTTCCATTCTTACTAGATTTGATAAGAGAAAAGTAGTGCTCACCTGAACTTCATAATTCCTATTATAGTAGAGGCAAGTCCCAAAGTGCTTCAACATTAGAGCTTTGTCATCATAAGGCAATCTAGGCACCATGTCACTCCCATAAACAAACCTGAAATACCTAATCTTATGCTCTATCATTTTCTTTTCCATGTACTCCCCAAAAGCCTTATCTCCAACCCTAGGCTGCCCAAATGTATAGACTCCCTCCAACCTCTCCAACAGCAAATCTGAATCCTTCCCCTTGTGAAATGTTAAAACTGCCGGAAAGAGAATTGCTAGTGCCCCACCTAAACTGTGCCCAGTTATTATAAATTTGGCTTTGTCATTTTCCAGAAGAAGTTTTTTCAACATATCTCTAATGGCATAGTAAGCCAAGGCTGGGCGGCTACCGTCTTCTTTGATTTGCTCAGGCTCCGGCCAACCGACATTCTTTTGTAAGCCTAGAGCTTTCATGAAGCCACTATGGATCTTTCCAACCCCTTCAAGTTGATACCAGGAGATGTCAAAGTCGGAGCACCATGCATCCGCATCAAAGGGTTCAGTGCCTCTGAAGGCCACAACAATTGTGTCATGGTCACCACTTCTGTCACGGAACATACAGGCTTGTGTTGTGGCTTTTTCTTGATAATCTACACGACAATAATAATGTTTAGTTAGTTTGGGATTTAAGTGGTACTTAACTTCGAATGACTTTACGTGAATTTTTGCTAGGTAAATTAACCTATATATAATTCGCTTATATATAGATCATATTACCCTATGTTAATGCGTATACATGAGATTTAATTTCCATAGTCGAACAGGAAAACTTTTTGTAACCTATTTTAGAAAATAAAATATGCATTAACAAAGTTCTCTAAACCGAATTTTCTGTACTTTATAATTTTCTTCAGATTTAGTCATTTCTTACCATTCCAGAAGTCATAAGAGCCCAAGAACTCCATCTGCAAAAAGAAGGAAAATAGAAAACAAAAGGCAGTCATCAGTTTACAGTTGAACCATAGGACTATCATATTATACTAAAATTAATGGAAGCATTGGAGGTAAAGATATGCAAAATAATGTGATACCTTCCAATGATCCTGGACAACAGTTTGGATGTAGAATGTGTTCTCATATGATATTTTAGACGCCATCATACTAAGTGCTGCGTTGTACTTGCCATCTCCAGGCTTGATGCTTTCGTCCAGCTCTACTCGCTTGTCCAAATTTCCAATAAACGACAAGAACGTTCTTGAGGATTTATCTGGTATTATCACGTTACCTGTTCGTATCACCATTAATATCCATTTAATCTCTATAAAATAGTCCAACATGTACAGATTAATTATATATATTTTTTCTATTGTTTATTGACCTGGTTCACAGATTAGAAATACTATCACAGTTGATATATAACACTTCTCTAACATAAAATAAAATAAAAAACACAGTTCATCATAGCTACTACATTATGGTACGTACTTCCATCATTCCATGTGATACAGATGCATGCGTTCACTAGCTAGTATTTTTTTTTATTAATTTAGTTTTTTCACGCCAAATTTGCCAGCTTGGACCCATATTATCTTATATTATATAGACCAACTAATACAATATCCATCTCATCCTTTCGTATATAATTCCAAAATATAAAGTTATTTACTTCCCGACATGCCAACTGCTTTCTCTATCTATCTGATCTATCTATTGTTAAAATTATGAAACACCGAGCACAGAGGCAGTGGAGGCCGTTGCTGCCGCTCAAGCCTCCATTTAGATGTTCTCATGAGAGGCAGCGTTGATGGCACTACTTATGATAGTCGTTACTCAAAGTACATTAATTTCTTTTATGAGAGTGCTAATTGTGGACGAATTCTGGAATCGGTATTCAGGGAGAAGCCAATACAGCCATTTGTGTTTTGTTCTTTGGCATGGAAGGAACAACTGTGAGTGCATGATAAAAGAATACTAATTGTAATTAATGCTAGTAAATTGGCAATTAACTTAACCAAAACAGCTGCTGGGAAGGACGCAAGTTAATAAATAAACTATATGTGTACCTCGCAGTAAATTTAGAAGGAGTCCGACCAAGTTTTGATTACTTGAGACAAGATTCAAACACATCTCGATCCCCCAGCCAATAGCTGCCATTGGCTTGGCCACAAATTGAAGCAATTTTTGGACAACAATAGAGAGAAATATGAGCCATCTGCGCTGAAAGTCGTCCTCAGTTTCCTCAGAAGAGTCAACGAACCTCCTCCTTTCTAAGTTATTGGAAAACAAGATGTGAAACAGATCAAAGAAACCCACATCCTTTGGTTCAAGGAGCATGTAATTGCATGAGAAACTCTTATCACAAGCAGCTGCCATGGCTATGGGAGTTTATTTGCTGTGAAAATGATGAGAGAATATAACGTAAACTTCTTTAGTGGTGGAGTTTACTATGTGTTAATGTGCTGCGCTACAAGTTTCTCTCTCAATATATAGCTAGTTTGTGATAAATAAACAAATAATTGTAGGATGCTATTGTTGATCAGCTAAAGGCGGCTGCGTTATCGATGAAAATATGACTATGTCTTGGTCTTCTCTTAGACTTTCTTTGACGCGTTCTTAAAACATATTTTTCATAAAGATTAAATTTTTAGATAAAATTTTGTAAGTTAAATGATATAAAAATTAATAATTAGATTATTACTTAAATATTAATAAATGTGCTTATTCTTATTAATAACACGTAATTTAGTTTTTAAATTTTATTTACAAATTTAATCTCTTTCTGATATTGTCCTTTCCACTTGTACTGTACAAGTGGGAATCCTTTTGTGCGGGACAAATTCCAGAAAACTCGAACGCCATGCTGGATCTATATGCTGGGATGTTTGACAGTGACATTGACACATTGTATTTTACTTTTTACACTTTTATTAATTTTGTTTATTAATTGTATTTAATTTATTCAATTTGATGATTAAAATTAAGAAAAGTATATGAAAGGTAAAAATGAGAAGTAGTGCTAAAGAGATTAAATTTAGAAACAAAATTACAAAATAAAAATGATGTGTTACTAATAAAAACAAATATGTTTATCAATGATTAAATAATAAATCGATTCTTACTTTTTATGTTCTTTAATTTTTTAAAATTTTATATACAAAATTAACCTTTATAGCATTATTGAAAAATAAATTTTAATCAAGGCTTCATTTGAGTGTGACCCGGAACACCATAACTATAAACACTTTTTTATAGTCCATCGACGTCAGCACCACTAAGTGTGACCCCGCACAACACAATTATAAACACTTCTTTATTGACCATCGGCGTCAGCGCCATTGTTGGAGTGGGCCCTTTTCCTTTGTAAAATGAGCATGTGACTTCCGTGAAGGTTCACACCTACAACAACCAACCTAATTTCCTAAAGACATTGACCCGAATAAATTTATAAAAATAAAAAATAAAAAAAGTAACTTTAATGAAAAAATTTCGACACTATTTACTTTAACAAAAAATTACATTTTTATATTAAAAAGTCAATTTTAGTATTATTTATTTTACCTTTTATTTTGTCCTTATCGTTAAAACTCAAAATTTTCAAATTATTTTCATTAATTTTCCTTAAAAAAAACCTAATTTTCACATATGAAGATAGCTTAACAACCATATATTTTCATTCGTAAAAACATGCAGCATTTGTAGAGCCAAAAATATTCACAAGGTGACACGTGGATTTTTGGATTAAGAAGACAAAAATACCCTTGAGGCATATCAGGATTCCTACGTGCGAGTAGCGGGCAATCATCCTCAATCAAGTCAGAAATGCCCAAAAAAGGTAACAATTCAAAAATTCATCTCATCAAATCCTTCTACAAGGTAATCCCTACAATTTATTTCACCCCATATATCCTTTACCTAATTTCCCTTTTTTAGCTAAATCAATTAGCTAATTATTACATAACCTAATTATCTATTTATTCTAAATATTCTATAACCACCAAAACATTCCCCTTATGTTTAATTAGCCAATTAATACCTATTAAAATTGGCTAATTAAACCAAAATTAAACCCAAAAACCCACCTAATGGCCGGCCACCCTTTCTCCAAAGAGGACCGGCCTATCCCTTTAAATAGACTCCCATTTTCACCAAAAGATCATTCCACACTCTTACTAAAATTCTCCAAAACTCTCAAACAATTTTCTCTCTAAATTCTAACTTTGGCATCGGAGGTTCTTCGGCCAAAGCCCCCCTATTCATCGTGGGCGCGTGAGGCTCTTGGCCTTGACCTAAGGTGTTATTTATTTTGTAGGTGCAATTTTGTCCAAGATCAAGGAGAAAGAAATTTGCATCCACAAATTGGTGCTTTCATTGAGAGCTAAGATCCATACTCGTAGAAGACTCTCGCGTAAAAAGGTTTTTTCTCTATTTTTTCTATTTTCTAGTCCCCTTGTATTTTTCATACGTTCTTATTATTAGAATTTTTTATTTGCAAAGATTCTTTGATAAAACGTAAAAGAGGAATATAATGGCTAGAAATTTAGAAAATTCCACAAGTAAAAATTCTAATACTCAAGAAATGGGACCGCGGCGATCCGCGAGGCTAAACGTGGTCATAGGCGGAGTGGCATCACCATTACGAGGTTCCAGCATGGCCTAAGCCGTGCCATCCAAGCTTGCACAGGCCCGAGCCCAAGCCTCGCACTCACATGCGCCACACGCCGAGCAGCCCACTCCCGTGGCCCAGCTTGCTCTTGCCGAGCAGCCCACTCTCATGGACCAGCCTGCTCCCGCCGAACAGCCCACTTTCGCTGCCCAGCTTGCTCTCACTGAGCAGCCCACTTTCGTGGCACAACCTGCTCCCGCCGAGCAGCTCACTCCCGTGGCACAGCTTGCTTCTGTGGCCTTCCTAGCAGCCTAAATTGGTCCAAGATTAGTTCAACCGTCTCTGCTTCAAATTTTCGAACCGATGATCGAATCGGGAGCATTTTCGCCACATTTTTCTGCGGATTTGACATTTCCCAACTTAAATCTTGTGCCCGGAGTCTACCACACTTCCACTACTTAAGGAGATACATTCCTTCCAAACTCTTCTAACCCAAATGATGAACAACACTTGTCTCGACAAGTAATAGAGTTGACGAGCGTCCTAACACAGCAGACGACCTTGGTGAACTAGCTATTGCAGTGCACCAAGATGCAACGTGTTCCAAACGAGGTGTCCCAAATAAAGACAAGGGCAGACGAAGAACCTCTCCAGCAGCGTCACGACAAGTAGCCACTCAACCAGCCACAAACCGAGCGTTTGGGCAAAGTACACTCCCGATTGGGCCCCCGAGATAGCGTATACTCCAGTCTTAATGCGTGGAGGAACGTGCACTCTCGACTAGGCCCACGGATGAGCATACACTCACGGTTGGGGCCACACTCCGATAATCAGCATGAGTAACCTTCCAAGTGAAGTGTTTATTCGCGGCTAGGTCCGCAAGGAGCATCCTCCACATCACATCGAAGTAGGCAGCATGACGGACAAAGAGAAGCAGTTACTTAATTCGACTCAAGTTCAACTAGTAGCCTGCGAAATCCCTCGCCTGTTAGGAATCTACCACATGTACCGCTGCCGCGACATAGACGAACTGAGCACGTAGAAGAGCAGCCTAAACCAGCAAGTCAAGACTAAGGGCAGCCGAGAGCTCCGCTACACTAACAAAGGAAAATTCATGAAAAAGTAGAGAGGCTCCTAAACAAGCGAAGTGGCCGATGAGGCTCTACGACGGGACATGACCAACATAAACAGGTTACCCTTCACGGATGAGATCGAGCAAGCAAAGCCTCCACGTGAGTTCAGCATGCCACATTTCATATCTTTCAAAGGGGATGAAGACCCGGAGAAACACTTAAAGCACTACCGAAGCACAATGATCCTCTATCGAAACAACGACGATCTTATGTGCAAGATATTCACTACCACTCTACAAGGCGAAGCGCAAGATTAGTTCTACACCCTACCGCCACAATCTATCCGAAGTTTCTACGAACTTTCCTTCGGTTTTACCAAAGAATATTCATCCTATCGCTCGATCAAAAAGAAGTCTGACCATTTGTTCAACGTCAAGAAGAACCCAAAAGAGTCACTTCGTGACTATGTGAAGAGGTTCAAAGCAGAAAAGGCAAGGATAGTCGGATGCAACAACTCGATAGCTAGAGCAGCCTTCCAAAAAGAACTTCCAGCAGACCACCCACTATTCAGAAAATTAATCATAAAAAAAGATCTAACTCTAGCAGACTCTTTCACTCTAGCAAAGAAGCATGCATTTTGGGACGAGGCACGCCAGTGTACATTCAAGGACTTGAAAAAGTACCCAACATCACCTCCCTGCTATCCAAACCGGAAGCAGAGGAGGACTGATTCACATGTTTGACGATATCTGAAGCAACAATAAGCTCTACCATCATATGAAAAGAGTTGGGGGCCCGACTACCTGTATTCCACAGTTCAAAAGCACTTCTCGATGCCATCAGAAATTCAAAAGCTAATTTTGGCAATAGTTGTTGCAACCCGAAAGCTTAAGTTTTACCTTCAAATACACATAGTCATCCTCATGACGCATTATTCCACCCAATCTAAACGTTCGACGATAAAGGCATAAACCCTGGCGGATGCAAAGTTTTCCGATGAATGCAACAACTTGGCCCAAAATACACGCCAAGGGCAGACGAACACTGGAATGACACACTCGGAAGCAAGTTTTGTCTTCGTCACCCCAAAAGATTCTACATAGGAGCAACATGTATTGGCAGTTGAGCACTACCTTCTGCTGCGCGTTGCACGACCATAGCCGACCCTTGCTCCATAAATTTAGCTCTATAATGGTCCAATACCGGCAGTTGAGCATTTCCTGCTACATGTAACATGGCCCCAGCTCCACGACTCCCTACCATGCACCAAGATGCTAAGAAGTTAGTACAAAAGTACGACCGCTGCCAACGCTACAAGCCGATACCAGCACTGTCTGCCAGTGAGCTACACCCGCATACGAGTCCTTGGCTGTTTATACAGTGGGCAATCGACCTAGTAGGACTTATGCCGCCTGCTACTAGGGGTAGAAGCATGATGATCGTGGCAACCGATTACGTCACCAAATAGGTAGAAGCAGAGCCCAAGACGACCACGACTTAAACGGACATAGAATACTTCATATGGAAGAACATCATTTGCCGATTTGGCGTCCTATAGTCCATCATCACTGACAATGACCCGCAATTCGTGGGCAAAGGTATGGCGAAGTTCTTCCAAAAATATGGCATTAAGCAGCACATGTCCAAAAGTATGGCATTAAGCAGCATATGATCCTTGATTACCTCAAAAAATCCCTCACCAATAAGAAGGGAAAATGGCTAGACGAACCCCCCCGGGATGTCTACAGGCATAACGCACCATCAAAAGACGAGCAATCGGTGAGACTCATCTCTTTGGCATTTGG